TGCATGGGGAACAAAGTGGCATGTTAAGTTTGAACCATCCAAGTCGCAGCTCCTACGAATCTCCTGCCATCGACAGCAGCCTTGGCCTGTCCCCGCAATAAACTTTGGAGGGGAGGTCATCCCACAACAGCCACACCTCAAGCTCCTCGGAGTTATGGTTGACTCCAAGCTATCCTTTTCCGCCCATCTCCGGTCAGTTGCTGCCAGGGCAAACTCACGTCTTGGCCTCCTACGTAGAGCTGCTCGTGTTCTGGACTGCCGTGGCATGCTGGCCGTGTATCACGGCTTCGTCCGGCCCCTGCTCGAGTATGCTCCCCTTGTCTGGATGGGAGCTGCTCCCACTAACCTTGAACACCTTAACAGAGTGCAGAGGCGTGCCCTCCACATCCTGGGACCCAACATCTTGCTACAGAGCCTAGAGGCCCGACGGACAGTGGCGGCACTGACTTTCGTCTACAAGCTGCTGGGCCAACCAGGTCCTCCTCTGCTGAGATCCATGGTCCCCCCTCTCGTCGTCCACCATGCCGCACCTGTAACCCGGAGACAATGCCAACAGTCTGCTTCACACCCCTTCCAACTGGAAAATGTTCTCCCTCCAGGCGCTCCTAACTACCTAAGACGCGCCTTTCCATACAACATCATCAACACCTGGAATGCGCTGCCATCCTCCCTCTTCACCAAACCACCATCTCCTAAGGGCCTACAATCCTTCAAAGCGAACGTCCACTACCATCTTCGCCGAAGCCAGTGGCTTTGGGCCACAGACTCCCTCTAACAGTTCAGAACTATTTCCATCCTGAAGCTCCCCCCCCCCCCCCCCAAGCACTGCATGATGTTCACTGCATCTGAACTGCCTTTGAATCTATTTTTCTCTCTTCCTGTTCTCTCTCCACCCCCCCCCCCCCTCTCTCTCTCTCACTCACTCTCTCTCTCTCTCTCTCTCTCTCTCTCTCTCTCTCTCTCTCTCTTTCTCCACCCCCCCCCCTCTCTCTCTCTCTCTCTTTCTTTCTCCTCATCCATTCTACCTCACCTTCTCTTGTCTTTATCGCACTAAATCACCCCCCTCTTTTAGGCTATGGTGCGCAAGCTCACGTTAACGCCGAGACCATAGGTCGGTGTTGTGGGCTTGCCTCACCAGCACAGGCTTGCTTTGCAGCCCCTACTCTCCCTGCTGTTTTGTCATTGTATACTCTGTTGTCTTCTCCCCTTCTGACGAGTAGGTTGTGTACTTAGTAAAAAAAAAAAAAAAAAAAAAAAAAAAATTCAAACTATGTGAAAACAAGTTTGTCAAAGAATCACCAAATCACCAAATTCCGCTAGCGAGAGTGCAGACGAGACCACTAATTCCGTGCGTACGATAATGCGTAAGATACTGCGTAATAGTACACGTGAAAGTGCTTCGCGCTGACATTATTATGCGCTGAAGTGCCTGGCGCTGACGTTACCTCGCGCTGACAGTACATCGCGCTGAAGTGCCTTGCGCTGACATTACCTCGCGCTGAAGTGCCTCGCGCTGACACTACCTCGCGCTGAAATGCCTTGCGCTGAAGTGGTCGCGCTGAAATGCCTCGCGCTGTAGTGGACGCGCTGTCGCGGGATGGAATCTGTTCCATCTGTCTGCTGCCAAAAATGAAAGGATTGTCTAGGACTGTCCGCTTCTGAGCTACACATAGCTGCAAGGTTTATCCCGCTGCTGAATGCCGCGAATGTACATGTACATAACCATTGTACCATTTAGCTGAGTACAAGTAGGTTTTTATTGCTGCCCATTTCAAATCACAAACATGGTTTGCCGCAAAGCTGTGTTTTTCATGTATTTACCTGTTCTCACATCTTGTTGAGCTTGAAAAAAGATAATAATAATTACTGTATCAAGTACAGTGCTGGCAACTGAAATCCGGCCCCTCTAGCGGTCTCTATTTCGTACTTTTACCACCCGTGTTGGGTCTTTGCGATGTGAGCGCACCGCCTCAGGGGGGGGGGGGGGGGGGGCGGATTTCAGTTGCCAGCACTGTAGATTAGTACTTGCTCAACCATCCCGCACCCTGGCTGCCATGCTGTAAATTCACCCGATACTTGCAGATGGATCGATATGGGGAAATAGAACACCAACTTCGAAACACTTCAAGCACGTTTCAAGACGCAGCTGAGATTTTGAAATTGTATCTTGAAATTGTTTATCGGTATACCTCCACACCTTTCAAGTCCCGGGATGCATGTGTACTGGAGCCAGGGAGTCATAAAACCGAGTGTGTATGACTCCCTGGCCGAAGCTGTGTTACACCATATCCGCGGCGAAGTATCAGAAATCCGGCGCATAATTCGGTGGTTACGAACAGCAATTTCTGCGGCAATTCTGAAACACAATAAAACAATAAACTCAGACTGCACTATGGCCTGTGCGTTGCCCGGAAACTCGGATGACTTTATTCTTCCAGTGATTTAGGGCTTTGTCCCTATCAAGTTGACTTTGGAAGTCATGATTTGGTTGGTTTGGCTGTGGAATACATTTCTACAATGTAGGCAAAGTGTCCGAAGTCCTTGCTGGAAACAGTGCTCAATACTGCACAAGGCAGAGCAACAAAGACCAAAAGTTTTCTCGTTACTCCGAGTTTCGTGTTCAAAAACACTCATCAGTACAATGTATGTGTATATCCAACGCAAGGTCGATCTACGGACGGCTAGCTGATTCGATCTCAGTTATTAGATCTCGTCAGCGGAGCTCGAGTTCCTGGCCGAACCGATCGCAAAGAAATCTAATGAACGACAAAGCCTTTTTTGAACCGGCTCGACGCATCAACGTCAGAGTGCTCTAACTGCGATAGACACGGCGATCTTTGCGCCAGGGCAGATAGCTGTAATCCAAGGCCCCGCGTATCCGAGGTACGGTCTGTTCAAGGTCGAATGACTAGTACGTTCTACTGACGTTTCAATGAACAGAAAATATTTACAGCAGCATGGAAGAACAGGGCCGCGGTCTCCATCCTACAGGGCATTGTAATAGACCAGGCTGACTCTACACTTCGGCTGTGATGCGCATGGCGTAAACGGCATCCGGCGCCTCGTAGCCTTTGATGCTGCGTCGATTGTAGTAGATGACGGCGGTTGTGCTGGTATTCGTTGCTACGAGGCTATTGTAGACACTAGACTGATACGGGCTGAAATAGGCGTTGCCCTCGACGACCTGCGGCGAAAACATGGCCGCCGACCCGCCATCAAACATGCTGTTGTGGAGCTGAGCGACGTTCTTCATTTCCCACGTCCGTCCCATGCCGTCCCAGTTCACCCACAGGGCTATGCCGGGCCGCCCGGTCGTCAACAGCAACGGACCCTTGCCGGGCCCTTGTGCGTCCATCATGAGCAGCTTGGGTCGTACGGAGAGCACGGCGGGGGGTTGCATGACTGCAGGTGTTGACCACGTCTTGCCGTCATCGCTCGAGAAGCTCTGGTACAGAGTGCTGTGGCGGCGATCCGGTGGTCCATCACCCCCGTCCATCCTCATCACCACCATGAGTGTCTCGCCGTCGGCCAAGCACACCAGGGCACTCTCGTTCGGACCCTCCTCGCTGTGCGGAAAGTGCGAGGCATTCGCGACCAGGGCTCGGAACTCCCACAGGAGTCCGTCGCGAGACGAGTACAACGTCAGCGAGCTGGGCCCTTGGTGCTGGGTGGTGCAGGCGAAGAACACGTTGACCGTCTGCAGATAATTGCCGTCGCGTTTGATGAACACGGCGCCACCATTCCCGTGCCCGCCGACGCGAAACGGGCAGCCACAGCAGCCGTCCGTGCGGAGACCTTGCTTGCAGGTGACCAGCTGAGGCAGGCTGATGTAGGTCGCCGGCCGGTTACCCGGCATCGCGGTGATTTTACCCGTCTCGCCGCCGCTGCGTGAAATCTCGTATGACCCTTTCGCTTGGGTGAAGTTGTACCCCTGCCGTGACGTCGGTATTGTGGGTGAGATTTCGTACAGCACGCCCGGGCTTACCTTCAGCAGAACGCCCCCGGGTAGATTTCCCCCGGGGTTGGCAATGTGGGTGCGACCGCCGTCGGTCGAGATCAGCGTTCCCTTGCTGGTGGGCACGATGATCGTGTCGCCGTCGAATTGGACTGCGCCGTCGGAGTCGCCCCATCCGGACAGGTTGCCAACTATGACCGGAGGTGCGAACTTCAGCGTTCCAGCCCGACACGATACCACTGCTAGCTGGACGACAGCCAGCAGTCCCTGAAGTAGAGGTAGCACCCGTGGCATGGCCATGGGTTCAGTCTGCACTCGGATCAGTGAGCGCCGAAACTATGACAGACAGTGACCTGGTGATCTTGACCACCTACAGGTACAATCGTTCGTTGACAGACCAGTAACACTTGCTCGTGCTAGCCGTCTGGGTCGACCTCCAGATCACAGTCACGCTGCCGTGACTGTCCTTGTTGGGGTTTGTCGAGACCAGTCTACGAAGTCACGGTGCAACTACTACCGGCAGTGATGCACGGACAAAATTGGTAATGAGGTTTTTCTTTTCTTTTGGCGATTGCCGCAAAGCTTGCCTGGTGCGAGTCGCTACTCTTTATTTACAGGAATTTGTTCACTGCTGTCTACAAGTGCCCCCTGGTCACGTTGCACTTTGGGATTTGTTCAAAAGTCGGGACACCGGCACTGTCTCAGCGATCGCTCCCAAGCCTCCGGGAGTCGAGAAATCCCCTTCAACTCCCTGCTTTTGTTTTGATTCATTTCGTTACCATGCTGCTACTCTACCACTGACTCAGAAGAAGCTCGAAGTGCGGTCATTTCGTCGTGCAAACGGACTTTTTTTAATTTTGACGTGGCTATGTTACAGCGATCATTTGATGTAGCGACTTGCAAGCTGCAGACGCCGCAACAGAAACGACAATGCACGAGACGTGCGCTATCAGTCTAGTATGGGCTGGACATTTGCGTGGGCACGTCCGAAACGTAATGAAATATCACATTACGGATTAAATTATGTGTCATGTTCCACTTGCTCGAGCGACGGTCCGTAGTCTAGGCGTAGAGTCTACTCATGATCAGCTCCCCGGCCAAGGCGAAATACTAGACCAAATCGCCAGGGCCCAGGGAAGCATCACGCGAGCTCATCGCTTCAAGTCAGCACGTAACTCCAACTTGTCCAAGGTTGCTGTTCCAATGAAGCAGAACTGGTGGCAGAAGTGTAAAAATTATCATAAAATTCTCTGACGGACATGCCATAATAATATGTTACTGCAGCTATAATTATTATTGAAGTCCTCTATCGATTCGTGGGCTACTAGTGCTACAAAGCAAGACGCCTCCTGCAACGTATAGCGGGATCAGCCGCTGGACAGCGAGACGATCGAGGCTGACCACTTGTGTAGCAACAAGCCACCGGCGGTCTCAGCACATGCACATGTAGAAGGAGTTGTAGTACGACAGCAGTAGCAGGGGTGAACATCAGCCATTTCCTTCTCAAGGTGAGCGAACCCACGATCATGTTGTTGCTGTTTTTCTGCCATAGTAGCAGAACTCGAAAAAACGTCGTGGACGAGTACACTTGTGCATCGTTTATCCGGGCGGCCCGGGACCGGGCGGCACGGCCCTTGACATTGAAATGCCCTGAACTCTGAACCACATACAT